TTGGCGACGTTGCACGCCCACATTCGGTCGCTCCCCAACGCGGATGTGCAATGGCATAAGACACTAAGCACGCTGCTTGTGTTTCTCAAGCACATTTGCAGCGCGCCCGACAACGCCGTGTTTCGCCACATCAAAGAGTCGAACCCATTCTTCATGGCCGACGTCGGGCAGTTTCCTGGCGGCCGCGACGCGCTCCTTGCGATGGGCTTTGCGCTCGTCCAGCAAGACGGCGTTGGCGTCTACCTAATGGAGGTACTACTTGGCCAAATGACTGTCGAATCGATGATACAATGACAACTAGGAGCCCGATCTCGCCGCCGACTTGGACAAGTGGAGCGACTGGTTCGATACACTCAAGGTCATGCGCGACCACGTCGAGAACATGCTGGCGCAGCCGCTTCCGTCAGTTTATCCGTCGTAATCAATGCTAATCGGTATCGAACCATGGGCTAATTGTACCGTCTCGGCGTCAAGCGACCGGACGTCGTCCAAAAGCTCATGATGGACGAGAATTCACCCATCGGTCGCTATGGGACGAGCCGTAGCAATTATTCATTTTGATTCCAATGCTGTACCACGTCTTTTGGGCCAGCTGCGATCGACAACCTGTTGTGTCCTGTACCTCAGTCGAGCTAGAGGATTTGTGTTGGAGGGTCGACACGAGTTTTAGCTGCGTTCATGGCCCGTCCAAGGGTGGTCTGTGCCTGCAGCAACTCGGCGTATGGGACGAAATTGCATACAAACTCGTCGGACTCTTTTTATATACGAAACCCACCGGCCGGGAGAAGGTCAATGTTCTTGGCCTTCATTGCTTGCTTGAGCGGGAAGGTATTCTTGACGCCTCTGGCTTCGGCGGCCGAGAGCACCTGTGACGCGTACTGTGTGTAGAGCTCTTGCTCGGTCGACTGGGAAATTTTGATGGTTTCTTCGGCTAGAATCTGCGCCGCCCGCTCCTCCTACATCGTTGATGCCACCATGGCACAGGTATGAAAGCTGCAAGATATTACCATGTCGAGGCTTCGCTTGGCCTGCGCCTGCTGCTGCTGGAGCGCTGCGAGTCTCATGTTGTCCAGTCGGCGCTCGTTCTCTTCGTGAATCAACGCTTGATCGACGCTGCGGTTGTACTCGGCCCACTGCACCATTTGCTCTTTTGCGCTCGCGCGCTCCTCGTCCTTGACGCGTGCCTTCTCGCTTAGCTGGTGCGCGCGGCTGTGGTCGATCGCCCGCTTTTGGGCCGCGCGGCGGTCGGCGCGGTGCTTGAGCTCCGTGTCCTCCTTCAACTGCACCTCCTTCTTTTGATTTTCGAGCCGCGCTTCCGACTTTTGCTCGACCTTGAGTAAATTTTCCGTCGCCTACAGCAGATGTCGGGATTGCGACGTGTGGGCAAACGTACGAGGTCGATCATGCGCATCTTTTGGGCAGTCTTGCGCTCCTCCTTCTGACGTTGCAGTGCTTCGCGCTTGGCGACACGCGCCTCCTTCTTCTGCGCATCTTCTTCGCGCTTGAGGTCTTCTTGGTACTCGAGCTCCTTTTCTCTCACGCGCAGAGCCTTGAGGCGCTCGTTGGCGAGCCGCGTGTCTTCGTTGGCTTGTTTGGACTTGCGTTTCCGCGCAGCCTCGGCTTCGTCTTCGTCGCGGTTGTCTTGCTCCACCTTGGCTTTGATCCGGTCGCCATCTCGCTTCTCTTCTCGCAGCGTCGCGATAAAGTTGTTTTTGTACTCTTCAAGCTGGGTCTTCTGATTCGCGGCGAGCGCGAGGAACTGGGCGTGGCGCCGGGCCTCGTCGGCCGCCTTCTTGGCGTCCGCGTCCGCAAGCTGGGCGCGCTCGAGTGCAATCCATTGGTCTTCGACGCGCTTGTCCATGGCGGCGAGCGCCGCTTTCTCCGCGAGCTGAAACTCGCGGTCCGCGAGCACGTCGTTGAGGAGCTCCTTCGACCGCAGCGTCTTCATCTTGTCGGTTTGCTCGTACAAGAGGCGGTTGGCGCGCTCGATCTGGCGTGTCCGCGCTTCTTTTTGGAGGCGCGCTTCTTCCATGTCGACCTTGCGCCGCTCGTCCTCTTCCCGGTCCTCCTTGTCTTTCTTCCAGTTCTCTTTCTTGCGCCGCATCGCCTCGAGCGTGTTGGGCCACTTGTTGGTGCGCGTCTGCGAGAGCTCGCGCAGATGCGCGCGCTTCGCCTCGCGGTTGGTTACCTCGGGCTCGGACACGTTGCGGAGGATCCGCGCGAGGTCCGACTCCGTGATCGTCACCGGCATCTCGGTTGTGCGAATGACCTAAAATTAGCGATCCAATGCGGTTTAGCGCAAGGCCATTGGCGCAAACGAGTCGCCTGGAGCCAATCTGACGTCGCATTGACTGAAATTACGATTGCATTTTGGCCAATCGAAAGACATGTAGGCGTTTCAACGATGGAACAGCTCGCCATGGGCAGTTGCCAAGTAGATGTGATATTTGATGAACGACGCTCTCGTGGGATTGCCGACGGCCACTTGATTACTACTCTCTGCCCCATGCCTACGGGTAGCTACTAATACTTTAGAGGCCAAACTTCTAATGATGAGGCCGAAAACGATCTGGTTTGACCCGACATCATGCCATGGCAGGTCGAGCAAGAAGCCTTCCGTGGCGACGCTCGGCTTGCTAGCGAGGACAGTCGTACATGTGAAACTGTGAGCCACTGCAGTGATGCATGACTTTATTGGTGCTCGACGGATTTAGTGTTGACCGCAGCCCGTTTCAGCTTGAAAGTTGCATGCGACGATGATGCTCTTTGGCGGCCGCCTCTCGGGTGTCAAGCCGCCACGCGAGCCGACGCCTGAGGTGCCATCATCAGTGGCCATTGCACCACCGCTTCCAACGCCGCATACGGACCTCATTGCGCGGCTCACCGACCATGAGCTACGTCTCCTGGACGAGCTCGACCGCACGCGCCTCAAGCTCGAGACCGAGATGAAGCTCAAGGACAAAGACAGGCGGCGCAAGCCTTCGACCAACCAGCACGAGCTGCCCGTGAAGGACCACTTGAACATGCTTCCGATTTTGACCAATACGGGTGACACGCCGTTCGAGGTCGGGCTCCACAAAGGCGCGCACGTCCTCCCGGTGTTTCGGCTACCGCCCGTGCATCGCGCCATGACGCCAAGCGCCTTACCGTGCGTAGCTGCAGCCAGTGACGGCGCTGACGACGGCGATGTGCCGTCGCACGTGCTTGCAGACGACGAGCGCGCGGCGGCGATGGAGGCTCTGGGCTTGACATCCGAAGAGTTTGATGCGCTCGAGCAAACCGCGTCCTTGTCCTCGTCCGCGTCACCGAGCTCCGTCGTATCCAAGATGACGATGACGCGACGCCAACGAGCCAAGTTGCCGCTGCTGCACAAGCACAAGCGCCGTGGCCGTGAGACGCGCGAGACGCTACAGAGCGAGCTCACGGCGGCTCTGCGACGCGTGCAGACGTTCACAACACTCGTCAAGCAGGACCTCGTGCACGCCCAGCAGATCTGCCCCGTCCAGAGCATCCGCGGCGAGGTCGACCTACCTTGTTCTTATCGTCGCAGAAAGCACTCATGCCGATGTACTAGCTCTTTGTGAAAAAGTGGGGGCTCGCCAAGATCAACGCCATCTGCACGCAGCTGCTTAACGCCAGGATGCAAGCCGCGTTCGTCCGGTCGCCTTCCTCTTGTCGATCGAGTCGCTGACGATACGCTAGGTGGGTGACCGTGTCGGCGTTTCTCAAGCAGCAGCAAGCCCGCGCGGTGCTTCTCCACTTTAAAGGCTCGCGCCGCCTCGACCTCTTCTTCGCCAACTGGACGCGGCGCCGCGTCGCGAATGCGTGGGCGACATGGGTCGGCGTCCTCGACGCCGAAGACGCGCAGCTCCAAGCCGAGCGTGAAGCCGACGCCGTCCTCGTTTTGCAACGGGCGTGGCGGTAGACCTCCTCGATATCTCTTCTCTTCCTCATACGCTTGGTGTAGCAACTACCACAGCCGGTTTCTATACAACGCGTTCCGCACCGAGCGAGAGCGCCGGAGACGGCACCACGCAGCGTGCAAGATCCAGGCGTTTGCCCGCGGCGCATATGCGCGCGCCAACGCCAAGCAGCTCGTACGCACCATGCGCGAGAACATGGCCGCGACGACGCTCCAAGCCCACGCGCGGGGCTTTCTACTGCGCAAATCGCTGCACGCGGCGCACGCGGCGCGGGTTCAATTCCGCGCTGCGCGCCAGATTCAGGCCCTCGCGCGCGGCCGTCAA